TGGCGCCGCTGTAGCCCCAGCGGCTCTCCACCTGCTGGAAGCGGCCCACGCAGCGCTCCCGCCCCCGCAGGCAGCAGCGCGGCCGGTCCACGTAGTCCACGCGCGGCTTGGGGTTGACGGTGAAGTGCAGGAAGAGCGTGACCACCTCCCGGTCCGGCAAGACGCCCGACTGCGCCGGCCCTGCGGGGACAGGCGGGTGGCGCGCGGCGCGGGGCGCCGGGCCCCTCCAGCTGCAGCCACCACGCGAGGCGGGGCAGAGGCCTGCGCCCGCCCCCCGCACCTGATGCGGTCGCTGGTGCCGCTGTAGCCCCAGCGGCTCTCCACCTGCTGGAAGCGGCCCACGCAGCACTCCTTCCCCCGCAGGCAGCAGCGCGGCCGGTCGATGAAGTCCACGCGCGGCTTGGGGTTGACGGTGAAGTGCAGGAACAGGCTGACCACCTCCCGGTCCACGAGGATGCCCGACTGCGCGGGGCCTGCGGCACAGGAGGCCGGGGGGGTCGGCCTGACTGGGGGCGCCTGGGAAGGGCCTCAGGCTCGTGCAGAAGCCCTCGCGGCCGGGCCGGCCTCCGCCTGGCCTTTGCAAGACGCCCGGGCAGCGACCCTCAGCCCCAGACCTCCCAGGCTCCCTGCAGGGTCGGGAGCGAGCTCCCAGGGGTGAGGGCCAAAGCAGCGGGTAACAGTGTCAATCTGGACACAGTGATGTGACCGGGGAGGCCATGGCTGGCTTGAATGGGGGTGCCGGGGATGCCAGGTACCTGGACGCCCATGTGTCACGCAAACACTGAGCAGCACTAGACAGTTGAGACACTGGCCTGATCTCAGCTTCTGGTCAGAGAGGGGCAGCATTTGGGGGGTACATGTCCCCCACAAGGTGGTCAGTGCTGCTGTGGCTACATCTGGTGACCGAGGAGGGGTTGGTATGGGCTGGGCGCCCCGGCCATGCGGCTGCCTAGCTGGAGGCGGCCCCCAGCACCATGCGGGATTGGGGTGAGCCAGGTTCAGCCCACATCACAGTGCCCACAGCAGCGGCCACAACGGTCGTGACCCATGGTCGTCATGGGTGGAGACACTGGACCGTGAGTCCTCGGGCTGCACGTGCAGGTGACGTGGCGAGCTGGGTGCCTGGAGCCACAGTGGCAAGTTCCGTCCGCGCAGGGAAGGACTCGGGGCAGCAGAGACGGGTGGACACATCCGCGACTGCACCACGGGGTACTGGGGCCCTCGCGCCCCGGCTCACCTGCGGCGAATTCCTCGATGGTCATCAGTGGGAAGCGGATGAGGGTGAGCGCCTTGCCCAGCACCTTGCGCTTGTTCTCAGGCGTCACCTGCAGCTGCTGCCGTTGACACTCGGCCTCGGACCAGCGGACGACAGCGTTGAACAGCCGCACCTCGCGAATGCCCAGCGTGTCCCGCTCCAGGACGGCCACCAGCGTGTCTGCGGGGAGGGGCCGCGCGGGGGGCTCGTGCTGACCTCCAGGCCCCGCCAGGTCTAGGCTGGGGGCCACCCACCTGCCTGCACTCGGGAGCGGGGTGCCCCGGCTGCCAACAGGCCGGCCACCACGCAGTCAGCAGCAGCGGGCAGGTGACAGGCCAAGCCCGCGGGCCGCAAGCCCTGCCCTAGAGGCCCCAGCGCAGGGCGTCCTGTGGAGCTCACCCAGGTCGATGTCCGTGAAGCCCTCGGCAGTGATGGCGTCCGCCGTGTTCTTGTCGATGTTCTCGAGGCACAGGCTGGCCAGCTGTGGCTCGTCGAAGAGTCGTGCCTGGCGAGGGGAGCACGTCGGTTCCAGCCCCAGAGGGCTGCACAGACTCCGGTTCAGAACTTGTCACGGATTTCAAATCTTGGGGGCAGCTAAGGAACCCGAGAGAGTTGCTCCCTCAAAGTCAGAGCCTGGGTGGGGCCTGGTGGGGTCCGGCAGGGACAGGAACCGTGACAAGGACCCTGCTCCAGGCCTCTCCGGGCACAAGGCAGGGCCCGAGGGGCGGCCCAGTGGGGCCAGGGAGGAGGCCCCAGGGGTGCGGCCCAACGTTGCACAGGGACTGCACACAGGCCAGGACACGGGGGTGCAGATCCTGGTCCCTTCTGCCAGGAAATTGGGGGTAGTGGCCCTTCGGTGGCCGCTCAGGCGTCCCCTCACGGGGTTTGCAGAGCCAGTGGGGCTCGGGCAGGGCTAGGGACGCCAGAAGCAGGGGACCCGGGTGCCTGCACTGCCCCATCCCCTGCTGGGGATTCCCGTGCAGCCAGGGTACCTTTTGCCCATTCCCACCGGTCAGCCGGTCAACCCCACGATAGCCCGGAGCCTGAAAGGAATGTTCTCAAAGAAACCTAAGTGACAAGCAGCACCCCCCACTCCTGAGCCCTGAGAAGGCGCAAAGCGCCCCGAGCCTGCGGCGGCCCAGCCAGCCCGGCCCTGCATGTGTGAGCAGCCGGGACGTCCGGGGCTTCAGGGCCTCGGGGAGGCACCAGGAAGTCGGGCGAAGGCAGACGGGGATCGTCCAGCCTCGCCGCTGCCCTCCTGCCCCAGCCAGGTCCCTGCCCAGAGCCCGCCGCACCCACCTGCACTCGTGCCCTCGCCGCCCCCCACGCCTGAGCCGCCGGGCCCGGTCCTGCCGCCCGCCCGCACCTGCGTGAGCAGCATGAAGGCGTTGTCCGCGCGGAGGTTCTTCTTCAGGAACTCCACGCAGTGGGCCTCCAGCGCCGGCACCGCGTACTTCTTGGCCGTGTACAGGGTGGTCATGACCGTCTCGGGCCCGATCTGAACCTCATCCGAGTAGAGAAACCTGGGGAGGCAGGACAGGCTGTGACCCGGCCAACCCCTGCGCCCCGGCCCCTACCCACCCTGTGCCAGGCGGCGCAGACCGGTATCCTCACTCAGCCCAGCACGGCCGGCTGCCCACCTGCCTCCGCAGCACCTGGCTCCGCCCCGGGACTGGCCAGCGGGGTGCAGAGGTCCACCCCAGGCCTGCAGTGGCAAGCCCACTCCTGGAGAGCCTCTGGTCAGGTACCGGGGCAGGCATGCGTGAGGCCACCAGCTGGCTCCAAATGTGGGTCAGAAGTTGGGGTCCAAAAATAAACCAGGGCAAAGATGGCAAAGCCACCCAGAAATGAAGCCTGTGCAGTGCCAGGCAGCTGCAGCTGTTCCTGCGGCTGCACTGGGCTCGGCCTGCCCTGCACTCCGGGTGCGCCCCAAGAACAGACACCCTGAACACGCGCACCCACAGCCGGCTGCATGGGAGCCCTGACAGCAGGCGGGCCCCTGGGGCTGAGGGGCCCCACAGGAGGCCGGGCGCTGGGAGCGGAGCAGCAGCGGGACAGACTGCTGGGGGGGGGGCGGGTGGTGCCCCCACAGCAGCAGGATGACGACCAGCTGCCTGGAGGTGACTCGGCAGAAGCAGCCTCCAAACGGGCACCACCCGCACCTCCCCACCCCAGAGCTGGCTGTAAGGCGGGGTTTGGCGAGCAGCCACCCACTAACCGCTTCCTTAGAGTACAGGTGTCGCGTTACTTTAATTACAAAACACAAGATGCAGCCTCTTAGCTGCTCTCAGGCGCAGGTCGGTGGCCTCGAGCACATTCACTGCTGTGGGCTCAGCCCCACCCTCCAGCTCAGGGAGAGCCACTGCGGTCCTCTGTGGTCGATGCTGCCGCCGCCCCACCTCGCCTGTCTCGGAGGGGGCTGCCCGCTGGGCCCTGCTGGAGCGGGCTCAGCACTGGGCCTTGGCTTGTCTCGCTGAGCGTCCTCCTCAGGTCCGCTGCCGTCACACGGCGTGGCGCGCCCGGGCCTGCTTCCCCTCCCTCCTCCAGGTGCGCACCAGCGCAGCGGCGGGCCCGGGGACTCTGGGTCTGTGGCCCTGAGGACCCTCCAGACCTGCCACAGCAGCTGCCCAGTGTCCACATCCCCGCCAAGTCTTGTTACTCCTGGTTTTGCTTCTTTGTGATAATAGTTCTCCCAGGGTGAGAAGTGGTACCTCATCGTGGAAACTGCCCCGTGTGAGAACCTTCCACTGTCTGCGTGCTGCAGTTAGGGCCTGGAGGGCCCTGGCCGGACAGGGCGCATAAAGATGTGAACTGACCCCACAAGCACTGTCACGGGAGGCGCTGGGACCTGCCCACCGCTCCGACACCTTACAGAGTTGGGGGCTGTGGGGCATTCACGTGACAGCCAACTGGCACAGAACTATACAGAATTATACCTGGGGGTGCTTTAGAAGCCAAGGAAGGAGGGGTGCAGGTGAGATGGACAGGCGGAGCACCGCTGACGAGCTGGCCTGTGATCACACTCAGCCGCCGCGGCAGGGGGCTGCTTGGTGCCCCAGGGGGTGTGCGTGCCTGTGCCAGGCTTGTGATCAAAGGGGAAATTAAACAGACCTGCGTTAAGCAGGAAGCGGAACCTTCAAAATTCCCTGCCCACACCAGACTCTGCTCAGGGATGGTAAGAAGGGCAAGCCTCGGGCAGGGGCCGGAGCTGGAAAGGTCCTGGACAGTGTTTGAGACACGACAAAAATCCTAAGCTAAGAAAAATACACAGGTGAAATTCAGCACTGTACGTGCCACTGCAAAACTGCTGCCCCAGGGTAGAAATGGGACGCTCGACCACGGGGGTGACAGGCAGGACGCCCCGGGAGGAGCTGGTCCGGGCGCACATCAGGGTCTGTGAGGAGAAGCGTCCGGAACAGGCGCCACGGACAGCGGGGTCGTGTGCGGGGATGGGTAACGGCGATGGAGGGCTGCTTTTGGGGCGATGCGATGGCTAGAGTTAGAGGGGACGGCTGCACAACTCTGCGAACGTAGCAAATGCCACTGAATCACACGCACTTCGAATTGGTGAATTCTGTGGTGTGAGAGTTACATCTCGGCCCTCCCTGGTGGCGCAGGGCAGCATGAAGCTCTCCGCAGCCCCCCCAGCACAAGCTTGATCCCTGGCCATGGAGGGACCCCAGGCTGCAGCAGACCGCTCCTGTCTCCCCGCTGCCCCTCAGCAGTGGATTTCAGTGGAACCGCCTGTCCTGCTCCCCAATGTCCCCCATGAAGTCTCTCACCCCCACACCTCTGACCTGTACCCCAGGTCTTGTGCATAAATCTATCTTCTAAAAAACCCAAAATGCACACAGCCCCCCGCTGTACAGTCAATTCTAGAACTCCCCAGGGGTTGAGCCAGGAGGAAGTGGCAGGGTCAGGGTGATGCCACCAGGAGCCTTCATCTCCCCCCAGGCCCCGCCCGCATCCCCCAGCCCCAGCACCCCGAGCCGCCCTGCACCCGCCGGGAAGGCTGGAGTCTTACTTGAGCAGCGCCAGGAAGGCCGCAGGTTCCACGTCGGGAAGCTCAATCTCGGTGGATGTGGTGGCCATCCCACCATTGAACATGGCGTCGAACACGGCGCTGCCCACGGCCAGCACGAACCTGGCGAGTCAGAGCAGACCTGCATTACCCTCCACAGGCGCATCCGCTTGGCGACGGCCAGGCCGGCGAGTGCCCTGCAGAGCCACAGGCCCTCCTGGGCCAGCCCCGCCCGAGCGCAGAGATCCCGGAAGCGGGGGCTCTGGACAGGGGCCCCGGGCAAGAGCCGACATAGGACCTGCCTTGCCAGAAGGCCAGAGTGCGCCTGCTCTTGGGTGACAGTGACAGCAGGCCCTCCGCCAGCCCCCCCACCAGCCATCTACCTCGTCCACCTGCTCGCTCGCTCACTTGCGGCGGGGGGTCCCGGCCTCCTCAGGGAGCAGGCAGGGCGGAGGACACAACAGCAGCAGGGGAGGAGAACACAGGGCCCGGGAAAGCCTCCAGCCTCCAGGGACGCCGGAGCGGGGCTGAGCGCACTCAGGGCCAGCGGGAACCGCAGGCTCGCGGGAGGGGCCTGGGGCTGTGGGCACCAAGCACCCACTCATACCTGCCCACCCACCTTCACCCCAGTTCCAGGGGCAAGAAGGCCCAGTGGGCAAAGACAAGCTATGACGTACACCCCATAAAACACATCCCACCAGTCAGTGGCAAACCCACAGGCTGTTCCAGGGAACCCCTGGGGGGCGGGACCCCACGCATCCAGGCTCTGAATGACCTGCTCAGTGCTGTTCACTGGAGATGCCCAGGGCTCGCCCCACAATGACCTGCCCCAGGAGGCAGAGATAGCCCCCAACTCTCGGTCTGTCTGCAGCTGGACGCCTGTTCCCTGGGTCAGTGAGACCCCTGCATCACCCTCCCGGGCCCCAACATCACAGTGCAGGGCTCCGAGCAGAAACCCCCAGGTTAGGGCACCGGCGGGTGGGGCAGGGTGTGCAGAGCCAGCCCCTGCCCCAGCCTGGGCCCCCCCGCTGACAGTACATCTGTTCAGGACGCCCCTTCTTCGCCATGGGAGGCCGCACCCTCCTCCCCTATGCGGTGGACACCTGCTCCCCAGCCCCCCTTGAGCCTCATCCAGCCCCCAGTCCAGAGGGCTCCAAGGGAAATGGAGTGTAGCGGGGTGAACTGTCACCCAGAAGTCTCACTTGGAAACAGTCTGCAGATGGAAGTGGTAAAGCTGGGGCCGCAGCGGAGGCGGCCGCCTCACCCTAGTGGCGGGTCCTCAGGGGAGTGTGGGAGAGGCCACTGACAGCCACAGGACAGCGGCCAGGCCCGGGCGGCGAGGGAGGCCCCTTCTCAGAGGCCTCCGCAGGCAGCGCAGCCGCAGGCCCCAGAACGGGAAGGGACGCCGTGTCGGCCCTGGGGTGCCCAGCACCTTCGGCCCGGCCACCTCGCCAGCCAGGTCCCCACCCTCCACTGCCCCCGCATGTTCCAGAAATAAAGCACCATGCCGTCATCCTTTCTTTCAAGATCTGAAAGACGATCTTGACCTGTAGGAACCACCGTCTGCGGTCATTCAAAGAGAAGAGCTCGTGCAGGGCCTCGTGTCCCTGCAGAGCCACTGGGCGTGCCCCTGGCCTGCTCCCACGCCAGCTGACCGCCTCTTCAGGGGTCTACTCCCCTCCCCCGTCCATCTTCAAAGCCATGATGACAAAAGCATGTCACCTTGTCCCACGAGGACAGCGGTATAAAGCACACAGACAACGCAAGTGAGGACAAGGCAGCCGGGACACGTGCTGGCTGGCGGGTAAAGGTGTGGAAACCGCCGAAGCGCTTCAGGTGGTCAGAGCCCAAGCTTCCTGCTGACCTGCCCATTCGCCTGCGAGCGCCAGGAGAAGCACAGACATCCCTCCACACACAACTGGACCCGAGCAGACTGGCTCACAGCGCTGAGCCGCGGAGGCGCCGAGCGACACGCCGGGGAGCGTGGCTGAGCCTGTGCAGGTGGGGCTTCGGCCACGTGCTCCGCGGGCGGGCCGCAGGCAGGATGCGCAGGACACTGGGGACTCAGGTCCCCAGAGGGGTCGCCACAGAGAGGTGCAGGAGCTGGGGTTCCATGGGGAGGGAGCTCCAGCTGGGGAAGAGGAGACAGTGCTGGAGCCGGGGGGCGGGCTCATGACCAGTCCAGCACAATTCAGACCCGAGAGGACGGAAGGGCGCGGTGGCACTCTGAAGGGGCCTGGGAGAGAAGACGCCCAGTAAGCGCCGGACAAAGTCAAAGGTGCAAAGCGCTGGAGACAAATACTAGCCTGGAAAGTTCCGTCTGCATGGAGAGGCCCGGGTGGCTCTACCTCGCGGGTGCACTTGCAGGATGCACAGCTAAGCAAACATGTCCAGAGAGCCAGGAACACAGGTGGAGGAAGGTCACCAGTAGGGATGGGCTGGGAGAACTGTGTGGCGCTGAGATGGGGTCAAGTGTCAGATGGCCTCGTGCTGGGCGGAGGTGTGTGAAGGCTTGGGGGAGGGGCGCGGGAGGGGCCATCACGTAGCTGGGTAGCTGGTGGGAGCACCCCACCCCACCCCACCCCACCCCACCCCCGCCGTCTGCTGGGGGCGAGGCAGGCTCTGGACGAAATCCCAGCAAAATGCACACAACCAGCTCCCCGATCTTGGATTCTAAATCCAATTTTCCACTACTAGGAACTCGGCTGCTCTCGGAAGTCGCCAATTCCAAGTTTGGGGCAGAGAAAGAAGAAAAGCCTGGAGTTGTTTACTGGGGGCCAGAGGCAGCAACGCTCCCACAGGCTGCGCAATGCTGCAAGGCCATGGACGGCACCCGCCTGGTCACTGGCGGCAAGGCGCCTGGGCGGGTGACCAGAGAGGGCGCCTGGGCGGGTGACCAGAGAGGGCGCCTGGGCGGGTGACCAGAGAGGGCG